CGCCGCGGGGTGCCGCCATTGCCGCCATTTTCTCTCTGAGGTGGCTAAAAGTTGTGGTAAACCGCTCCCCTTGCCTCGGGTGTACAGCGGTACATGATACCTGGGAAAGATGGATGTCTAATTTCTGACATTATGGGATACGGACTGTAAAAAATGGGTTGTTTAGGGAGTAAAGTGGGATTAATCACCAGGCCTTTGTAGTGTTCGGTTGCCTGACTGTTGGTGTGTTCAAAATAAAAATGAAAAATTTATCGATTCTGGTAAAGAGCAGTTGTCAAACACACTAATAACCCATAAAAATACCGATGAATATGTGTGTATATATGCATACTGTTTGGGGAAAAAAAGGTGAATTTAAAAACCTGTAGAAACACCAATGATTAGGCAAGTGACATGCTGTTCTCTTACTGTTATGCTGGTAGTAAAGAGAGGAAATGATATTTGAGATAACTATCAGAATACAGATTTTAACGTTTTGAAATTCATTGGGATTTACTGTATTGGGAGTTCACAAGTGATGTGTTTAATACCTCATTTCTTCCATTTGGGATTTTTTTTTTTAATAAGACTTACAACTCTTAAAACTTGTATGGAGAAAATTAAATTTGAGATCTTTGAGGTAAGGAATACATTTTGGCTGTGGTGTCAACTGTTAATTGTTACTTTATAGTTAAGCTCAGGTATTTTAGTGCTGTACACAATTGCCAGATGATTATATGAGAAGATTGTATTTGGTGTGAGAGAGAAAGGAAAAAGTAACCTGTTCATTGTCCTTAAAAATTTGTCGGCAGAAGCCTTTGGGACTGCAGCAGTTCCTTGCCTCCAAGTGGTTTGGTTTTTGGTTTTGTTTTTCTTTTTCAGGTTAGGTGCTACTCTAGGGTAGTATTCCCAGAAGGAGGAATGCATACTTACTCCTGAATAGATCAGGTTAAAGACTTGGGTTTTTCCTGTCCCCAAATGTATGTGTTTTAGTAAATTTGGAAAGGATTTTTGTCTTCCCTAAAACTAAAAAGGCATGGACTAAGCTGGATTTATTGTCTTTAAGGTATCCAAAATAGTAGCATTAACCCATTACTCGGAACTTGGCACTTGGAAAATCAAGCAGAAGCTGTTGCAGGGAGAGCAGAGTTTTGTAGATGTTTGTGGGAGCTCAAGTTGAGTTTAAAACATCCTGTCTATATAGGCTTAAACTAAGGATATTCTAATAGGTATAAATTAATCGCCGAAATACGATTTGTAACTTGGGATTCATACAGCAGGGTGCTGTGCAAACAGAAAAACTGAGATTGGGGGATGAGGCCCTAAATGTCTAACTCAGAAAGGTGTTAAAATAAAATTCAGACTATAGCATATTCACTAATTTACTGAATTGCTTAAAACTAAGCTTATGTTTAAATAATTTGCTGAGCTGCATTCTGAATAAAAATAGGTGGTTAATGTTCAGTTGTTTAGCATTTGCTGTGCCTCCCAAAAAATTCTCTATGTATTTTCTGTTAAATTTTTTAATTAATAGCTTATAACATGCAAGATACTGAAAATACTTGAAAATATTTTCTTTCAATCAGCAGGCCACAAATCAGATGCAAACAGAATCTTTAACGGCATGTCCCAACACTGTGTCACCAGTGCCATTAAATAATCTGACCAGTGCTCCAGGGTTTGGAACAGTTATTCCAAATCGTGTCTTTGTAGGAGGAATTGATTTTCAGGTATTTTTTTTCCTATTTTTACTACTAAATGATAATTTATAACCCTATAAAAATAAATAGGAAGAAAATGTGAGACGTAATCATACGTGTTTTTAAGTGGTAAGTACCCTTTACTGTAATGTTCAAATCAACAGTAGAGAATAAAGTTTTAAGCCTTGATTTACACAACTCTGTGACAAAGTTGACTCTTTGTACACCTAGCACAGAGCTGATGGTAGAAAAGCATTTAGAAGTTTTTTTTATTATGTATAACACTTGGTGTAATTTAATAAACTTTAAACACAATGTTACAGATTGCAAACAGAGCAAATGTCAGTAGTTTCAGCTCTTCTAGCACTTTTCTTCCAGTTCATACAAAGAAGGAGCTACAGTGCATGTATTCCTCACTTACCGTAGTAATTTTCTTAAAAGCAAGGGTTTATTTTAAATATTAAAGCTTCTCTGGGCAATCTGCAGTACTGATCTTAATTCTTGGAATTCTTGTGCCTTTGCATATGCCGTGAAAACCTCAAATAGCAGTGAATATTGAGCCATTCTTGCATTGTTCAGTTGCTTTCAACGTTTGTGACAAGTTACGCACCAGACCTTTATACCAGCTCTTCCCATTTTTTCTTTCTTACCACTTCAGATAATGAGTTAAGTCATTGACTTTTGCAAAACACTCTTGGTGTGCTTAGCTGTTTCTTTGTTCCCACCAAGAGTATCTTCTCTGCCTTAATCCTCCTAGGCTGAGGACTTTTTGAGTGCTGACTCAGATGAAGAGGAGGAAGAATGACAATTCACTCAGACTATTTTGCATAATAAATACAAGAAATTTCAGGATCTTCTGGCTCATTTGGCTGAGATAATTCAAGAGATCTTGTACAAGGTCTTCAGTATATTTGGGCTTTTGCAAAGAGGCACAGTAGCTTTTTGCATTAATAGGAAGCAAATTACCAGAGCTGTAAAAAGACTTGTCTCTGTTCTTTCTTCACCGCAATTTCAAAGGTTAAAACACTTTTCTGCATAACATCAATATTCTTGTTAATTGTCAAATTTATTGTTCATTTTGAGGGGTTTCTTGACTTCTTGGTTCAGTCGCTGATACATGAAAATCTATTTTGAATCTTAATTTCAACAACGGAGGAATTAAGTGTGTTTGTAAGCACAAAGAAGATAGGTTTTGTTGGGAGAGGAAATAGAAGGGATGAAACCTCTGTAGACATTTTAGCTACTCTTCCATTTACCATGACTACTCTTGTCAAATAGTCTTAAATTTCTGTTCAAATCATAGGATATATGTGTCAGTCTTGGATTGTTTTCTGTTGGGAATCTTATGGCAAAAAGCATTGGTTTTTTTACCCCATAAGTCTTATGCAAGTCAGCTGGGGGGGGGGGGTAAAAAAGCTGTTTAATTTTTTTTTTGTGAAAAAGGGGGACACTAATCAACAAAAAATTACTTGCTTTCCAACAAGCTCTTTTATCATTTTGCCAGGCACTTCCATTTGGTCTGTCACCGTAGCAGTGATTGCTATTTGTAAGAAGAAACATCTGGCCTCTTAAACTTAGAGAAACAAATCAGTAAGGGAAGTTATGTGATCATTTTGGTCTGAAGAGCTCTTTTGTCAGTGGTGTATGCTATGTATCTTTGACATAGGTGAAAGCCTAACATTAGCCTTTCTTAAGAATCTGACAAGTGCTTTTGTCCTGCCATGAGCAGGAAAAGGCAAGTCTTGAACATGTTTCTGGCAAGCTTCTGGATACCATGTTTGTCCAGATACTTGCAAATTTCACTGTGTTTCCTTCTTATTCCCACTTTAATACACTGCTCTGCAGATAAACCTTTGGCTTTCCAAGTTCATAGTCTTGTGTAGGCATCCCTCATGTCCTTGAGGTATTGAATGACACTTTCAGCAGTGATCAATCTTAAGGGCTCTTCGGTTGTTTCTTGGCATATTTTTATCCCTCTATGATTTTTGTCATAGGTTCTTTTTCTCAGCTTTGTGAAGTAGCTGGACTACATTTAACACGTGGAGCTTAAAAGAAACAATCTCCCAGAAATGGAAGTTTTATCTATAGGCCTTTCATTTCCAAGCAGATACATTTTGATGTTCATTGGAGAAAATTTTAAGGGAAAGGAAAATCTCCACTATGAGTCTTCTACACTTTGTACATGCTTTTCATTACTTGAGAACGTGCGAACACTTTAGCATATGCTGTAGAATTGTTTAATATAAACTATCAGTTGTTTGGCTGAATCTGTTTTCCTATGTACACAGACTTTCACACTTCTATTTAGGTGCAAAGTGTGATCATCTATTCAAGAGAGTGGTTCTAGACTCCAGAATATTTTTAACCTGTTCATGGTGGGTAGTTTCTCAAGAACTGGTGCAGGCAGCTTCCAAGGAGAAGACACAGTTACTCAGCTTTAATAAAACATTGACATGTTTCATGCCTGTTCAGTGCACTTGTATCTGTTTTTACTCCTCACACTTTCAGAGTGACTGAGTTATTTTCTAATGTTTTACTGTGTGAATAGTTGGATTAGTGAGGAAGATAAAGCAGTCTTCTACCATTGTTGCTCTCTGCTGGACTTAGAGATTGTAGCAAGAAAGCTGCTTATTTCTTTTTGTAAAATGCATCTTGAGGGTAGAATTAATTCAAAAAGACCATTAACTTCATTTTCTTTCCAGTTACGAAAGTTGCTTAAATTAGTTCATGTTTCTTTTTGAGTTCTTTTTGCTTCTCAAACTTAGATGAGGCAGATAAGCCTTTGATGTATAGGAGAGGATTTACTAAATTGTATACATACAGTTAAAAACAATAAAAGTAATTCATTTAGAGGTAAAATAGTACTTCTGATATACTTCCTTAAAATAACAAAAAGTATAGATGAATATGGAAATTGCTTGGAGCATATAGAGATCCTGGCATATAAACATACTTCTTCCAGCCTTTGGTATAGTATTAACTAAGGACCACGTAGAACAAAACTTAAGTCTGAAATGTGGCGTTTAGGGCACCATACTTGATGTATGCTTACATTGTAAAAGGAAACTGATTCATAGAACATAGATGAGTGTTCACATAGCTTAGGAGTGCCTTTACATTGGGAACTTGTCTTACTCCGTGCATACTCAGAAGGGAACAGTTTCCTCAGAGTGGATTTAGACCATTCTCCTTTAAAAGGACCTTTTCTGACTTAATTTATAACAAGGAGTTCCTGTGGTGTGCCTATACATATTTGCAGAGTCTTAAATATACTTTAGAAAGAGAGATGATGGTATGTTAGATGGATTTGACGGTTAAGTCACTGTGGTTTAGTGGGGATTTTTTCATATGTGACCAATACTTATCCTTTATGGAAGCCTACATACTCTGCTGTTTTAAAGTTTGAAAACATTGCAGTGATGTTTCATACTGTAAACAGCGCTCTAGTATGTAACTTGCAGAAACTAAAATTCAGATCCAGTAAACCTGCTTCAATGATCTTACCTGTAAAAGGACAGTTGTTACATAAATCCACTAAAAGAGGAGTTTTAATATTTTAGTGGCTTTCTAGCATTATTGCTGAATACGAAAATACAGTAATTAAACAGGAGCTGAGAGGTTCATACATGCTTGTTCTTCTGTCTTCCTATCCGGGGTTATAATTAGTTTGTAGCAGACTTTATCCAAAGTATATCTGTTAAAAGTCTTATGGTAAAGATTCATTGAATAACTATGCAAACCAGCTTCTCTTTTTTTGTTCCCATTGATTTACTGTACTAGACTAATGAAAATGATCTGAGGAAGTTTTTTGCTCGGTATGGCAGTGTGAAAGAAGTGAAGATAGTAAATGACGGAACTGGAGTATCAAAGGGGTTGGTATAATAGAATAAGCATGTTGTGGGAATCGAAAATATACCAGAAAGCTCACTAACTATAGTAAATGTGATTATGGTTTTCATAGCTCTGAACATTATTAATTTTCTGTCGTTGGTGTTCCTGGTTGTTCCATGTGTGCAAAAATCTGTTCTTGCCCTTTAATACCTGCATATAAATGCCTTTGTAATTTGCAGAACTGTAAAACTCTATAGTCATTTATTATAAGATGAAGCTATGTGCAACTAGGACAAAATTAATAGTTCTTTCAGGTTTTTTATGACCATAATGATTTAAGTAGGTAATTTAGTTATTAAACATATGTATTTCTACTACTGAAAGCCAGTGTGGAAAGGAACCTAAGAATGGAGGGAGAGGTGAGATACACCTGATTGTGCTGGAGTGCATGGCAATAACTGAGATTTTGTGTGAAGATTTTTGGAAGGAGAACATAGGGGACAAATCTGACAATGAATTGGATTTGCAGAAAAGGGGACTAAGACTGGGAGTCAACAATAAGAGAAATGCCAAAGAGTGAGTCTGGAGAAAGATTAAGACTGGGTAGTAAAGTTATTGCTAGAACCCAAAGGATGGTGAAGGAAATAAAGTGGGGAACTGTACTGCCACAGAAGGATGGAAAGAGGGCTGAAGCAAAAAGGAATGTGTGTGAGAATTTGTAACTGCAAAGTTCACTTTGGTCAGAAGTTCTCTTCTGAGCAGTAAGCCTGTGGTATCTGAATCTCATAATTTTAATACTGTCAGTAATTAACACATGTCAACAAATTACGCACTGAGCTGTGGGTCTTAGCATAGAGTGTATGCCTGCATGGCATGTTAGACTTGGTCCTGGTACCACATCCATCACCAAGCCTCTTACCTTTTTACTGAATTCCAAGAAATATCTGAGACTTGTAGTACCTGTGTCCATATAATTCAGTAACGCAAGAATATCCAGTTATTATGCAGTTGTTATTGCCAGCATAGGTTTCTCAGTAAATATGTTGGAAAATAATAGCTTTCAATGGTGTAGGAATTTCTATTGAAATCCAAGCACAGGCTTCATTGCTTCTCATTGACAAATGATTTAAGAAACTTACAAGTTTGTGATTTATTATGTATTAGTTTATTGTTCAGATAGCACATAGAATGAAAGTCTGTGTAGGTAAGGTCCCAAGCTGGGAAGATAGTTTCTGTGTTCTTTGAACTTGGAAATGTTTCCAGATTTGTTTGGAGAAGGCAATACAGGAAAAGCCCACAGATTTAAAAGTGTAGCTGGTCAGAGACTTGCTGGACCTCTGTACTCAAATAAGCATGGAAATGCTCACACAGAACAATATGTTGTATTGCAAAATTTGATCTACTGGCTGGAATGACAGAGGCCGGCTTCGTATCTTCTGAAATCTGACCCTGAAAAACGAATCATGAACTAACAAATTATGCACACAAAACTACTAAAAGATTTTTTTTTAAAAAAAAATTGATTGAAATTCAGAAAGTTGAAGTTAATTTTTGAGAAGAAAATAACCACTTTTTGTACGTATATGTTGTGGTACAGACTCTAGTTATAAGGTCAGATGCTTCCTTTTGCACAGGCAGCGCCACGTTCAGTGGCCTAGATTTCTCTGGGAGTGAATTGAGGGGTTTTGGTACAGCAGGATTTGTTGCAGCGGTTAGAAGAGGTATGGTGAAATACGTACTGTGTCGAGGATGAAGTACTCTCCTTCTTTGTGATCACCACAGAACTCTTGTTTAATGCTAGTCATGTCAAGAATGACAAGAATAATTCACAGATAAACACTATCTCTGCATTGCTGCTTTCTCTGAGAAGTCTGTTTAATATAGTGGTTTGTGCTTGTGGAAGTGTAGAGCATTCATAGTTGTCGCTGAAGTAGGTGGGAGCTGTGCTATGAAGTACAGTATAATAAAAAAATAACATCCAAAGTGTCTCGTCTTGGGCACCCATAACGAGTGAGAGCTTCAGATAAAAATATTTTTGTTTAATAGAAATGAAGGAACTAAAGACCTGCACTGAGTAACAAGGGCAATACAGAGTTTTGCTTAGCTTTCTGCGTGGGCTGCTCATTCACTGCATGGAAAGGGTAATATATTACCACGTACTTTAACATCCTTGTTAGAGTCTACTTATTAATATATTTAATTAAGATTACAGTTGTTACTGCAATCTTTATTTCTACGTTTGATTTTCTTTTTTTCCCCTTAGTTTACCTTTTAATGTTACTTGTGCTGCATATCAAGTAATAATGTGCAATGTATGCAAATATGAACTTCAGAGGCTTAGCTTCTGTAATTTTTATTTAGGTATGGCTTCATTACTTTTGAAACAGATGAAGATGCACAGAAGATTTTACAAAGGGTAAGTGATAGTCCCCATTATGATTATCTCTTAAATTAAATACTTCATTTCATATTAGACACTAAGCAGCCCTGGTTGTCTGGTCCTCTTTGGTTTGCCAACTTGCATTCGAAGATCTGTCAAATTTGGTCTGCGTAGTTAAGAAGATGGCTTAGAGAGATCTAAGATAAGATTTATACTGGGATCTGGAACTAGGGAAGGGAGTTGCCAGTTCACAGTACAGCTCTTGACTTTGACATACAGTCTTTACTTTCTTAGCCTACATGTGGTTTGTAGTACATCTAGCGCTCTCACAATTGCTTTTATTTGCTCTACTAAAAAATCAATTGCTGTCAAGATTTTGTGAGGAGTTGAGAAGATAACTTCTGTCTTTTATTCTGACGTGTTTGATTGTCAGAGCTGATGTAATTCTTTTCAGGAATAATTAGATTCACTTGAAGTCTTAAACACCGAAGCTTATTTTATGTCATGTAATTTTTGCTTCTCGGCTACATTACTGTCTTGACGCTTCTTGTAGAACCTCTATTGAGACATGGTTAGCCCTTCAGCTGTATGTTAGCTCTTTAGTTTGGTCAGGTTTGTTGGTTGGTTTTTTTGTTTGGCTTGGTTTTTGTTTTTTGTTTTTTTAAACGTGTCCTCCATGTTCTGGTTAGAACGTATTGGAGAGTTCTGTTGCTCAGGATCTATTCATACACGTGAAGGTATCCGCATGCAGGGAAAAAGAAAAGCCCAGGAAATAATATCCAAGGCTTGCAGATTGCCTTCTCCCAAATATAAAGCTGGTTAAGTGTTGAAATGCTGAACTTTTGTTGGAAATTCATGTATTAAAATTCAAAATAAGAGCTGGGACGTTTTCAAAAAATTCTCAGAGTGTTTTCAAAAGATAGAGTTATGTGGAGCCAAAAGAGTATACAGACATAACTTCTTGAGTCAGCTACTTTTCTTCCCGTATTTTTTTATTGTTTTATTTCTGTGAACTAGAAGAATACCAGTGGTACTGAGTACCATTGTGAAAATGGCTTAGGACTTTTGCCTCTGTAACTGAAAGGCTGCTCCATGTGAAGTCTTACTGGTGTCTGACTCAATGATACTAATACTTTTTTGTCCACTGTAAGTGCTTTAATTTGGATGTCTTACAATTCTGTCACCTTTTTCAACTTTGCATCATACTGCTACCTCATACTCATCTTAAGATCAATTAGTGTCTAGGTCTTACTCAGACATCTTAAGCAGAGAGTTTCTAGGCTTTAATAATTTATGTATGAAATTATTTTTTTAATTTTGTACTCTTGAATTTCTTCTCATTTATATGATATTCTGATCATCCTTTGCACTGATTTTTTTGCATCCTACTTTTCTATCATGAGTAGTGTCTCCAGAAATTTCTTTTTCTATGTTGCAGTACTCAAAAATACTAAATTGCATTAGTATTGAGAACAGACCATGAGGAGTTTCACCAGGATCCTCTTTCTGGTCATATGCTATTACTATTAATACTACCTCTTCCCATCTTTCTGAAGTGGTTTGTTATTCACCACAGTTTTTCCTATTAGTCTTCACTTTCTGTAGCGTGATGTGTAATTTTTGATGCAGTGCTGTATTAAATGCTTTGGAGAAGTCAAGACAGATTTGATATTTCTCTTAACTATAGAAGTTGTGTGTATAAAAAAAGTCGAAATTCTGATGGATCATATCAATTAAATAAATTGCATTGGGAAGAATAATCTTCCTATTGTATGTGGTGGAATGCAGTTCGACTGAAATGCTCGTCTGTTTTCTAGGAGTTGCTCTGTGTGTAATAGGCTAGGTAGGTATGTTTGTCATACTTAGTACTTGTTTATGAAGTCCCAGATTCAACAGAATAGTTTAGCCTCTTCCTAACTTTAAATCTGATAGGTGGCACTTTGCATTATTTACAGATGTTCAAGTATTTGCTAAATTGGGCTCAAGTGAAGAAAATGTATTGATTACCTAACTATTGTCCTTGTGTTGAGTGTGATTTAGAACTGTATTTCTTTCTGTGTTCCTCTTTACGAAGTAATTATCTCCTTACTGGAGAAGTTAACAGCTCTGAAAACTGAAAACTTCCTGGTGTAACATGGTGGTGTTTAGTGCGCATTCTCCCTTATGTAACTGTTCAGGGAAGCAGGCCTTCAGAACCCTTTTAGGTTTTGCAGAGCAGTATTCAAGAGATGCTGAAACTAAAAAAAAATTAAAAACAAAGACAAATTGTTAATTTACCTAGTGTATTTGATGCTCGCATTCTGTTGCAAGCAAAACAATTGGAAGAGAATGTAGCTTTACTTGTCTGTACCTAGCACTTTTTTATTAAAAAATTCTTCTGCAGTAGTTTAACCTTACTAGGATATGTGTTTTAGTGTGCTTTTATGTTTTGTTAGCCTGGATGTAAGGAAGCTTTGAGGCAGTCCTGAGTGAATATGGGGATTCTTTGCATTCAGTCGTTATAGTATGGCAGTTTTCATAGACTTACTTGTTCCTTTTGTGAAATAATGTCATGATCATGAATAAAAATAATCTTTATATTTGAAATTGTCCATTTGTGTACACATGTGCTTTTATAAAAGCAGTAAATACGTGAGAAGTATAAATGAAAAAATCTGCTGACAATTACAGGTATCAGTTCTTAGTCAAGAGGCTCCATGAGGAGCTTGAAAGTACTGATGATTAGTTCTGTGTATGTGAAGTCTAAGGTTAGAATAGAAAAAGAATTAGTATAACTTTTGGGTTTGAGGTGCGCTGTAAATAAAAAGCAGGACAGAGTGAAACCTACTAAATGCCTTGTCTACTTCTGATTTTTTTTTGTTTCTTGGGTCCTAGATATGTGTAGAAAATAATGTCTTCTTTCTTTAATTCTAGGGTAAAAAACTTAACTATAAGGATAAGAAATTGAGTATTGGTCCAGCAGTAAGAAAACAACAAATACGGAGACCTTGTATGTATTTTTACTTGCATTTTTGTATTATGTAAGTGTCATTATGAATGTAAGTTTTTAACCAAGATGTGCCTGGTCTTGCACTGCATTAATCAGTGCATGGAATATGCTCAGAATGGTTTGCAGGGAAGTAAATGCATCCCAGTGGAGATGTCCAAATAAACAGACAGATAATATTTTGGTTCTCTTACCTCTTTTAATATGTTGTTTACTTTTTTCTTCAAAAAGGTTATCTAGGAGCAAACTGGATGGGTATTTCTTTCAGTTGCCAGGCAGAACCTCAGATCTAAACACTTAGACTGTCCTCACAGATTCTAGAGGATAAAGCAGGCTGTGCTGGTTGGTTGGGTTGTTACCAATTTATTTATATTGGCAAAATCCATCAGGACTGTTGTATCTTGCTTTCTTCGGTAGAAACCATAAGGAATGGGTGATTGCAGTCACCATTTTGTTAAGAGTTCTTTGCTATAAGATGATGGAATGGATGCTGTATGTTCCTTCTGTGGCAAAAAACTATTTAGATTGAATGCTTACATAAGAGGAGTGTTGATAAAGAAGCCATCTGACAAAGAAAACTTATCTTGAGCAAATATCCTGTTAAGATGTTCTTTTGGGGAACACAGAAGACAGGTTTTCTTCTAGAGAAGATGCTCTCTACTTCTTCCAGGGACTGTTTTATTTCTGTAATACACTACTGAAAATGTAGGATAGAAATCACCAACTTTTAAGACAAGATCTGTCAGTTTTTGGCATAGCAGGGCATACTGTTTCATTATTTCTCAGTAAAGGCTATGTGTCAGATGTAAAATACATTCCTTTTACAAGTGCAGCAGGGAATGTACTTTTGTAACTTTCCTTCAGTATTTGTTCTATGGTACCTTTTGGAAGAGTCAAAAAAAAAAACAACCAAAAAAAACCCACCAAAAAACTTTTGCTTATCTTCTGTCTGAGGACCATGCAAAAGACTTTCAGTTGAATTCTAAAGCTTTCTTTACATGCTGTAGTTTGTATGTACATTGACACTGTTGGTGCAGACATACTTTCTGCAGACAGGAAATTTCAGCCTCTCTTCCTCACCTCATGCATAGGTATGCTGTTCTCCCTTGTAAGCGTACAGGATAGTGTTTGCCATGGGGAAACAGAATACTTTGTTCCAACTGTATAGTTTCTTAGCTCTAAAAATTATTCAGCATGGTCTTTGCTCAGTCCTCATCAAGGGGTTTTATGCCTTTTTTTTTTTGCTGTTCTTTATTTCCCTTTCCATCTTTGACTTGGACTTTCTCAGTTGCATTGCCTGTCTGGCGGTGCTGCTTCCTTCCTCTGAGTCTTGTGCTGAATGTGTGTGTTGATAGAAGAGGGACATATCTCTGACTCTGCATTTTAATTCTAGGACTTGGGGGAACAGAGATTTAAAAAAAAAAAAAAGCAAAACTCAAAAACCATTCTCTGAAGAAAGCTGCTATGTCCTTTTGAGATCTCTCTGTTTCTGGCCCTGCCTCTGCTTCTGCAAGATCATATTGGCATCTAGGGACATATATCCTAGGATCTGATTTTAGTGTGTCTGCTCTCATGCTCAGCCTATCTAACCTTAGTTGCTAGGATACTTTGCCTTACTGCGCCTCATCTTCAGAGTCATGAAACCATTAAATGTAGACTCACTGTATGACCATAGGGCTGTGGTTCTATTATATTTAGCAGAATTGAAGAGAGAGCCCATTTATCACTGTCCTCTCCAGCCCACCTGTAATCTAGTACCTGTCTTCCCTACTATTAAGTGAAACAATTTTTAGCTCTTCTATTGTCATAGCACCTTTTGTGCTGAGAGCTTTGAACATACTGGGAGGACTACTCAGTTTGCTTCTCCCCAGCACCAGGTATTGTGAAAATGGGCATTCTAAAAGCTCAGAAGTAGAAATCAAACATAAACAACTGGAAGAATGATGAATTGTTGTGGGCTGGAAGAATTTCAGATAGCTATACCTTCCCCAAGTTGTTTTATTTTTCTGTCACGCTGTTTGCTGGGTTTGATGGAGAATATTTCCTTTTTCTTTGCAAGAGACATATTCAACAATAGCAGAAAGTTCTGTGCAGTATACTTGGTAGTTAGCAAAGTGGACAGGATAGTTGGCCATGGGATCCTCTTGGTCTCCTCATTTGAGATATCAGTAACTGCTATTCTAGATTGCTTACTGGAGCTAAAGTAGCCTTTAATTTTTCTAAGGTGTGTTTAACACTATCCTAACAACCATTTTAGCCTGATCTGTCTATGGATAATATTTTAACTTTATTGTATCCAAGTGTCTTCAGGCTTTTCTAGGAGTTAGTCAAACTCTTACTATCAATAAAAGCTCTTGAATCATCATGGGATGCTTCTTGTCCTCCATGTAGCATTCTAGTAATCTCTTCACTGTTGTGTCTGTCCATAAAATGGCACTTCCTCATGGCACTTACCTTTGCAAGGGAGACGAAAAACTAAAACTTGCTCAGTGATCTCCTTTATATTGTGTTCTTCCTGAGTTTTTTCCATGCTATGTTACTACTTAATGGGATTTCAGAATTTCAATTTCTGTTACAGAATTAATTTGTCTTTTTTTCTACAGAAATCTTTTTATATTTGGAACTGAAACTTTTCTTCATGTTTGACATAAAAGTTCTAGAGAAGCATGAAGTCCTGTCCCATTCCCCTTCCCCCAAAATGCAGACAGAAATAGAGTCTAGGTGATCTCAAAGGCAGTGTTTGAAAAAGATAAACAACCTCTGCATAGGGTTAGATATCCCTTTATTTGAACAACGCTTGCTGTCAGTACCTGTTAGAGGGCTGTATAGATGGAACTCTGCTTTGGGATCAGACCATGCTGACTTACAGCCTCCACCATAGCGGCAGCATTGCTGAGAAGCGTCCCTGTTGCTGACATCAAGATACCAGTTTTTACTTTTGCCAGGCTATGTGCCGTCACAGAAACACACTTGATGTGTGTTAAGAAACCAGGCTGCACCTTGTTATGAAGTCATTCTGTTGTTGTTAGTGCTTGGATCCTATTTCAGCCACATATGAATATGTGGAGGTTAACAGTGAAAATCTCCTACAATGTGAAGTTATCTTTGGACATTTGAAGATTAAAAAAAAAAATATATATACGCACACTTTTGCTGGTAACTGGAGTAATCTTGGTTTAGTAATTTATATGCATGTCACCTGCACGCCTTCCCATCTACCTCTGGAGACATCCTGTGACCACATGCTTCCATGATTTTGTGTTTGAGAGGGAATTGAGATGGCACTAGGCACGCTGCTCCATGTTCTTTCCTTTGAGTGCTTTGCTTCTCTGAAGATCAGAAGTGATGTTTTCTTCTTCTTTTCACCTACACATCTAAAAAAATAAAATTTACTGGTAAGTAAATGTTAAAATACTAATTCCAGGTTCTGCTGTAATACCAGAAGCTGGTACAATGTACTTAACTACTTCAAGTGGATATCCTTATGTTTACTGTAATGGAGTGGCTTATTTTCATACGCCTGAAGTTGCTTCTGTTCTGCAGCCGTGGCCAGTAAGTAATTTATTTCTGTATATATGCTTTTCTGTGGACCAGGAGGAGTGCAGTGTTTTCAAGTCCCTCCTGCTTCCAGTTTCTTTGGCTATGCCTTCCGTTTGATGTTTAAACGGCTTCTTTATATTAGTTGGTTTATTTTGTCTTTTTAAAGTATTACTGAAGTTTCTTATTCTTCTGCAGGGGACTTTTGCTTTGATGTGACTGTCTGGACAGGGAAGTTCAGAATCAGTGTGGGCCTTATGCCAGAAGAAGTTTTGTTTTACTGAGGAGTTATTGGTGTTTATGACCCTTGATTGGCTCCACTTACTACTCCTCCATGAGTGAGGTGTTCTTGGCTGCAAACTGTGATAGTGAGGATGAAAAGAGAACATAATACTAGATCAACAAAGCAGAAGTGAAATTGGGAAGTTTTATAGTTGTTCACCTACTTTTTCAAGAATACTAGTTGTTTTAGGAGGAAGATAATTCAATAGATTAATTGTTTGGCTTTAGTAGGCTTGGGGAACTTGGGCATAATTTCTTGGGAAGTACAGGAAGGAGTTGTCAATCACTTCAATTTTTTTTTTTTAAACAAGGGGGAAAGATTGCAAGACCAGTGGGGTCTGTATAAGGCGCAGGACCGAGACAGGGGATGCAGCCTTGCTAATTTCTGTAAAAGCAGCATTCACAGAGGCTGTACATACCATCTCTATGTATGAGCGGAAAATCCCTTCGCATGTTAGGGGGAAAACTCAGTAGAAGAATTACTAATAAATAAAAACAAACTTTCCCAAAACAGATGAGGGCAGTAATAGATTTTTTTTTTTGTCATTTATTTTGGCACTGTATAATCTTTTTCTCAGTATTTAACCTCTGTTTTAATTGCTTGTTTGCTCTTTGAACAGAGGCATGATGTAGTGCCTCAGAGTGCCCTCTTAACTTTAGAGGATATGCATAAACACCTGTTCACGTATTTTAGAAAGCCTGTTTGAAGTTCATGCTCTATAGTTCTAGAGAACTTGCTCAAATCCTACCTGTTGGAAAGAACAGTATTTTTTTGTGTTCTAGTACTGAGTTTTAGTTCTGGTGCCCTGGCTCACGTCCACTGTGTTTCAAACAAATGGCACTCAGTCTTTCCAATTACAAACAGTGGTGCCTGTTTTGGCATCAGTTACTTACATATTCTTAGTTTTCATTGTTAGGAAAGTACCTGTATAAAGAAGTGAAGGAAAAAATCTGCAAATTTGATGTTACAGAAAACATTAATCAAGTTAAAGGTATTAGTACTTCTTGGTGTGTGCACATTGTTGGTTTTTTTTTTTTCCATTTTGCATTCTGCACAAAATGGAAAAAAATTCCACAAAACCCAGACAGGTTTCTAACTGGTTTAGCTCCCTAAACTGGCTTACTGTCAAATCAGAATGCTGGGTCTGGTGTGAAATAGAGAATGGAAAAGGGAAGATTGTGTTGGGACTGTGGAGGGAGTAGGAATAAATCAGTGACAATTTAAATTGCCCTGAGTGTTTACAAAAATGGACCTATGGTCAGGGTAGTGGGTAGCCTTAGCATCTCTAGATAGGGATGGCCTAGTACTTTCTGGAAATAACTAAGTGAGTGTGCCGAAGATTTATTTTTTGTGGTGTGTTTTTTTTTGTTTTGTTTTATCTTTAATGTAGACCCTTAGAAACAGTTGTTTTGAAGAATCTAAGTGTAAGTTAAAACTTGGTAAATCCATTTGCAAAACAGAGAGGAGGTGATTCAGCATTATAGTACTCCAGAACTGTTCTTAATAGGAGTGACAACTTATGAAATTGCTGCATTAAAGCTTCTAACTTTTTTCTTTAAGTCATGCTCTGTTTCCAGTTCACCTGTGGTGGTAGCTCAACCAGTTTATCAGTCTCCTACATACCATTATCAGGTATGTGATGGTCTGAAACCTATTTTTAGTATTCCTTCTAGCTATGCAGTTTTATTTGTAGCACTCTCTCAGGTCTGTTTATTCTTAGGAAATAAAAAGACTGTTCAGAATAGTGATATAAACCAGAATGTAATCTGCCTATGTAACTAAATGGAAATGTAATAAATCACAATTTTCTTTGGTGTTGCTGGATAACTGGCTTAGTACCATCCTTAACTTTTATCATCTAAGCCAAACTCCTGTTTAAAGCAGGGCTGGTTAGATCAGGTCTCTTGGGAGCTTATTCAGTTGGCTTTTAAATATGTCCAGTGATGGAGATGCTACAACCTTTCTGGACGGCCTCTTCCTAATACTTGACCATTCTTACGGTAAAATATTTTATTCCTTGTAACTAGTTAAAATTTTCAGTGTTCCAGCCTGTGTCCGTTGACTCTTGTATTCTGAACACCTCTGATGAGAATCTGACTCAGTCATATTTATGCTTCCCCCTCGCCCCCCGGTAGTTGTAGTCATCAATAATTATCCCTTCCCACCTTTATTGTTCTCAAGGCTGAACAAACCCAATTCTCTCAGCATCCTGATATGTCTGTTCTCCAGTCCCCTAACCATCTTGGTGGCCCACTACTGGATTTATGCAGTATGTCCATGTTTTTAATGTTTATTGGAAAGCTAACTACATTTTGTATCTTCTGTTTTCCTGATTAGGCATGCTTCTTAGGTGCTTCAGTGTTTTGGAAGCTTATGAAATGCCCAAGTCAGGCTGAGTGGAAGTAGACAGAACTATGTTCCTGAATTATTGGGGGGCTTAATGAAAATCATATTGCTTCTTTTTAATTAAGAAGGGATTATAGATTTGAGAAGGCTTTGATTCTGGTGTGTTGAGAATTCTAGTATGTGTATGCATATGTTCTTAATCACATAAGTACTATCTTTTTTTGTTTGAATTTAGTCACCAACACAGTGTCTTCCAAGGCAGTGGCAGTGGTCTGTTCCGCAGGTAAATACAGTTCATAGTTGTAGCATTTTACTGTTGCTTTGCATCTAGTATAAAGGTATAGTGTGCTTATCTAACAGTGAAATTTCCCGCTATTCACAACACTGTTGAAATAAACATTAATTGCTGTTATTTTAGCAATGTATTTGCAACACTTGCTGATAAAATAGAAGGCATAAAATAGCAGTTACTGAAACATCAAATGCAAATCTGATGTAAAGAAAGCATCTTCACCTCCCCTCTCCCTCTGGCAGAAAGTTTGTATTAAATTACCTGCTTCTGAGAATTTATTAGATAAAAACTGCCATATTTTGCCTGATAGGAGAAATGAGTATTAAGTGGCACATTAACTGATACTAACTGTGGTGTTTCATTGGAGTATTGCTGGCTGAAGTATGTGGACATGCACATATGGTGAAATTAGACTCAGATCCTTGAAATAGGAGGAAGAACTTGAAATTGCTAACTTAGTAATTTTTGGGGGAGACTATCAGTTTTGTGATGTCTGTAGCAGAGGAGCTTAATATAGAAATCTTGACACACAAGGAACTTGAAGAGTTTGGAGCTGAAAGGAGGACCAAGTCTCTTAAGCTTGAACTGTTATAATGCATCCTCATTACTTCAGTAGCAGCCAGCCTTGTCCAGTTATGGTCAGTTCGACTCTTAATAGATGTCAGTCTGCTACTTTGAAGTCTAGGTGCTGAGTTACAAAAATACTATGGGGTTTATTTTAAAACAAAAATACCTGGGTTTTAATGTAACATTTTTGCAAGAGGAAATGAAACTGTATTATGTTTCTGTGATCTTGAGTGTGTCAGTTTTGTAAATTTTAGGATTTCTCTAACAATGCTCTCAAATGTAAATAAAATCTGAAAAATATCTAGAGGTGATTAAAGGACATCTTTGTTTTATCCTACTATCTGACTTTTCTAGTCACTTTCCCCCTCACTTTGTTTCTTTAGACTATCAAAGATTAATTTGACACTTTTTTAGACCTTTATCTTTGTTTATGTGTAGCAGAGATGACTATAAAATAAGCTTTTGTATTTATAGTGCATAAATTGTATAATTTATGAAAATAATGTGTTTTATTTCAGTCTCCAGCCTCTTCACCTTCATTCTTGTGTCTGCAACCATCTGAAGTCATTTATCAGCCAATGGGGATTACTCAGGGAAGTGGATGTATAACTCCGCCTGTCCTAGTGGAAGCTGCAGTTCCTGAGGTATTTTTATGAAAAAATTTACTTAGTTGAAGAGTTTATCCTCTATTAAAAAACATCATCTTTTAGTTTAAGCACAGGCAGTTCAGAGCACTTGTCAGCTGTTCCCTGTACTTACCCCCACGCCCATGCTGCTGCTGTTAAGTCATTTCAGTTGTCCTCAAGTTAGAGTATTTCTTCCAGTTTTCTAGGAGGATGCTTTGATTCTGAAATGTTTTAGAGGGTCACAAGGGTATGACAGCAGTATAAAGACTAGTCCATTTATCTTGTTTGAAATTAACATTTAAATAAAATGGGAGTCTGACTGTAAAGAATGCTAGATTAGTCTACGGAAGCCATAACAGTTTCCTGAATTCGTTTTCTATGCAAGCAGAAGCTGGTTTCTAAATATTCTGAAGATCAGAATGAATTAAGAGTAGTTGAATGACTAAATTTTTTCCTGGTTTACAATTTTTTTGCTTCTATACCAATGGCATTTCTAATGTTTCTTAAGAGACTCTTAATGTACAATAAGGCCATTTCTTTATAATTGGATATTAAAAATAACAGTAAATAACTGGCTACAGAAAATCTTACTATAAAATTGAAAATGTGTTATGTTTAATGGGTACTTTTTCTCTTTGATCATTCATGCCTCTTTAACAAGGATGCCAAAATAAATGGTAGTAACCAAGTGTTTTTACAAAAATTGAAGAGTATTTTATTACTACAAGAGAAGTTCCAAAACCAGTAATTTGAACATCTTAAGTGGGAAATCCTGACATACCTAAGTAATTTAATTTCCCTAATCCCTACAAAGGTGTTGGATAATACAGGACTTGGTAGTTGGGGTGGTGGTTTTTTTTTTGGTGCATAAATCTTGGTATTTATTGTATAATCATAAATCTTACTATCAATGTTGTTATTTTACCTTTGGTGTTTCGTAAATCAGATATCAACTTATACAGAGAAATTTTAAATCTGTGAGCACTAGGAAAAAACATGAAATTAGTTAAGGAATATTTGGATGTAAAATGCTCTCAGTTCACAGGTACATAATTTGTTGATGTTAAAGGAAGCAGTATGTGGAAATTCAGAAGATATTGTAAAATTCCAAGAAAAACCAGTGTATTATTTGTATGTAAATATCTTGTAAGTGTGATAATGCTGAGAATTAACATTTCAGTATGCTAATGCTGAGAATTAACATTTCAGTATGCTAATCTACACATTTAAACACTGATCCAGTTGGAGCTGAGTGAAATGGATTTGTAGTAGAGAAGCATGCTACTTCTGTCAAGGAAAGTGTTTTTTGACACTGATCTAGATAAACTGAACACACCAAACTTTGGTACAGTGCGAAAAACACAGATTTAAATATTGAAATTTTGGGTTTTAAAAAGTCAGTAATTTAGATAACATAGCCCGCAATTTGAAGTTTTAAGGAATCTAAATTCATGTGAAAGGCTTGCAAAAACATAACATTGTGGAGCAAGCTTCTCTGCTCACTTTTCGTTTTGTTTTTTGTTTTTTATACCAGCTGTATTCTGATCATGGAGCTCAAGCACCACATCACCAACCTTATGCTCAGAGTGCCATAGCCGTGCCTGCATCTGTGAGTATCAAACTAAGATAGTTAAAGCAAGCATGGTAGTATTACTGTCCCCTTTCTTGAATGGGGACAGTAAGAGAAGAGTGACAGGGATGAAAAAGTCTTTTTATTAATGAGTTAATAAGGAAAACAGAAACAATGCAGATGAACTGAGGTTTTTCTTCACTTGAGGCTTTGTTATAGAGGACATAGGTATTACTTCTTTTGGAACTATTTGGGAAAGCTGCAAATGAAAAATGTGTTTTGAGAGAAAATGGTGAACCTCATTCAGTTCTTTGAAATGATGGTTACAAATCCTTTTCCCTATGTCTCTGGATCTTGAGAAGTTAAATTCATTACTTGTAGTCTTAGATAAGCTCCTCATGTCTCAGAGAGATGGGATTTTGGGACATGGCACATGAAAAACTATCCCAGTTGGCCACCTGTGGGTGTTTTTCTGTGCAGTACTGATTCTGAATGGCCATTCTAAAATGTAATTCTTCCATGTCACCTGATGCAAGCTGTTGGCGTCTTTTGGGCCCCGTTTTGAGGTCCTTTTGCCTAAGTTAACACAACATGAAATAATGTCTAAACTAGATTTAGCCTAGATTGGCCGGACTAATGCTATCAGTAGTTTTACTTGATATTACTGCACTCACTCTTCTGTGAAAGATGCCTGCTCAACTACAAAGGACACTAAATGTGCATCAAAGCTATGTTACCGGCTATCTTTTATATGTATTTTTTCATTTTACATTTCTTTGAGAAGAATCTTTTTTCCACTCTTGTGTAACAGTACCTACTAAATATTTCCAGTAGAGGGGGCTGTAACTTTAAGTGTTGTCTTGGAATAAAATGTGAGTACTCAGTAAAAAAATAGAAGCTGAATATGAATTTGTGAATACTAGTCTTGAGTGATTAATATTTCTAAGAAATACTTAAAAAGGAGTTGGTATAACACAGTGATCATAATATCCAGTTTATATTCCATTTTCTAACAGTGTATGATAACACTTTAAAAAAAAAAAGGCAAGAGTAGTCTCAAAATCAAAACCAATTGAATACTTACAGTATCAAATAGAGAAACAAGCTTTTTCACCTTGAAACTTGACTTTTATTATCTTTCCTAGGGACAAGGCTATACAAATGAGATGACATGAAGTTACATGGTAGATCTAGAGCACATTAGCTCTTCCTCTTCTACAGTAATTGCCACAGTACCATGCTTTACCTTAAAGCAAAGGCAAAGTAGTTTACTCTGTGATAAGTGATAATGTGTTAACAGTAGAATATGTGCATGCATGATAAAGCCATGTTTGGTTACTGTGGCGTAGGAAATGAACTGCAAATTCAGACTCTTATTTATCTCCTGATATGTATTTTCTATGGTTATTCATAGCTTTAGAAGTGATTTCACACACAGGCAAAGCAAGCATAACCCAACACCTCATTCCATTTTCCACACCACCCATTTCCTGTGCTGATAGAGGGGTTTTGTGAGGCAATATGGTAAACCATGTCATGGAACTGATGTAGTTAAAGATGAAGTCCCACTCCCACCACCCAAAAAGAGCTAATGTAAACTTGCATCAGTTCCTCAGGCCAGTTTGTCAAGCAACTGCACAAACTCTTGTACCTATACAAGAAGTTTGGGATAGGATAGGGGAAGTAAGACATGTGTTAGCAGTCTTAAACTTGATGAAACTGCTAATCCTGTCCATTCCTTCCCTGTATTTCTTGCTTATTCTTACCCATTTTCTCAGTCTTGTTACACGTAATTGAAACTCTGCTCTGTTCAGGTCTCAAGTAGATTCACAGATACAGTTAAACCCTTACAAAGACTTGCTGAATTCTAATAATTTTGTTTATTACAAGGTGATGCCAAATAGTTTTTGATAGGTTTTAATTTTTATTTAGTAAGCTTTGTTTAGTAGTAATTAGTAGTTCTGGAATATAATTCTTTTTCAAATTTCACCTTACCTTTTCACATACCCACTAAAAGTTTTCAATATATTCAACGTGTAATGAATATGATCAGCTTGTGTATAGTGTCTATCGGTGTGGCTGAGCCCTCAACAATGGAAAAAAAAGAGCAAATGTTGACAGCAAACTGCTATGTATTAAGCAAGTGGTTGTGTCATTGCCACCTGCTCCCTCGCTGTATAAAAATACTGCCTGGTGGCTGTAGTCTTGTTAAAATATCCCAACAAATGCATCTGCTGCCTAAAAATGGCGATGTAGTGGCCATGTAAGAGAGCAGATGCCTAAAATAATGGCCTGACCTTGAAGGTAATCTGCTAATTGCCTCCACCACATTAGGAATTGCATTAGTAGTAAACATATGCTTTATACTAGGAACTGTAAGTCATATGGTGAGAGTTAGGATGGGTACAGCCAGTATCCAGGTATTTTTGGCAGTTGTAGACTTCTTACAGTTTTCAAACGCAGCTCAAAACTAAGCATGCATTGCAGTCACACTTTAATGAGGTCACAAGGGTGAGCAAACAAAATGTATGGGATCTTTCTTGAAGAAGAAAATCACAAGTTTCTAAGCCAGTATTTCCATTGTTGATGTGGATGTATAAAAAGCCCTTGGTTCATTAATTATGTCAACTGTGTAGCAGTTAACAAGGGAAGCTTCAGTTCTGGCAATTCTCTAATTTATTTTTCATTCTCTCTGTTCTACCACTTAAATAGCATTTTGTTGATGTAACTTTTAGTACAAAATTTGTAATAGTCTTAAATGAAAGTTAGAAGAGAACATTCCCCAGCTTCCAACTATAACTTATTTTTTAGATCCAAATTTGGATCAGATTTGAGTCAAAAATACTAATCCCCTTCCCTTGATCATGCGTTTACTAATGATCCTTTGTATTTACGTGAAGGTGTCTTTGTTTGGGAATTATAGCATGTTTTGTTCATAAGTATGTGGAAGTGATTTCATCTTCACATCTATGCAAATGGATAAGGTTGACATTCATTCTCAAAGACTGCTAGGTGATACTTGTTTTTTAGGAAGCATGAATTTTTTTTCCTCTCCACTGGGTCTTGTGCAATGCTTCAGATCCTAAATCGTCCTCTAATATGGCAACTAATGTTTAGATGCTCCTAGAGGGCATGCATGAGATTGGTAGTAAGAGCTGTATAGTCTACAGTAACAGCAGAAACTTGAGGGAAGATTGAAATTCATGTTCTCTGGCTTCAGACCTGGAAGAAATACCTGCGAGTTAAATTTTTGTTTTGCTGGATGGTTATCTTGAGTTCTGAGGCACTGGCCTGGTAAATGTTTTTTTGGATATTGTGTGTGCATGAGGGAGACCTGTGTGGTCTGGGGAGCTGAGCAACACAGTTGCAGTCTACATAAACTGAGCAAAGGTATAAAAGGTTCTGGCAGGTGGAGTTGGTGAGGTGGGTGGGGTTTGTTGTTTTGTTTTGTGCTTTTGCTTTTTTATTCTTCTCTGTCGCCTTTTTCGGCCACAGTATACCTGTCAGGGTTAGACATGGTTCTAGTCTGTCAGAGTTTTTGCTATTCCCATGGTCTGTATCCAACAGAATGTTTTGGCCGACATTAACAGTGTGGGATCATACAGTCTCTTTTTTACAGGAGACTTTTTAGGTCATTGGGGAAGAGGTGGAGGTGTACTCTTTTGTTTGAGCTTGGACATTTAGCTTCAGGAGGGGGAGAAAAAAAAAAATCGGTCTTACGTTAACTGAACGCTTCACTCCTGTCCCCACAATAGACTAGTTTTAGCTGACCATGTCTGACAATCTTCCTTAATCCAATTCTTGGAACCTAGAAGGGCTATACACTGCATTGGAGTGCTGAGCTATAGTACTTTTAAGCTTACACTTTTCTTCAGAAAATGTTCTGCAAAGGCACAGGAGAGTACAAAGGTAGTAAGTATTTTTAGTTGGTTTTTTTTCTGAAAACCCAATTAACTGAGTTCTCTTAACAACAAGAACCTGTCAATGATAGAAATGTATCCTAGTTTTCAGATTTGATTGCGTGTTTGCTTTCTGTCACTACTTTGTTCTCTATTTCCCACAATCTCTTTTGATAACTCTAAGATTGAATTTTCTACTTGCTATAAGAAAATGCTTTTTAGAAAGGTCAAAGATTTTTTTTTTGCTTGAGCATGTCCAGACTACGGTATATTGGCAGTAATTATATTGCTTCTAACTGAAAAGACAGAGGAGGATCTTCCTATGTCAAAACACAAATTAGAGTATTCATTTTTAATATAGTTCATGTGTATATGTGCATTCAGATTGTAACGATGCATGGTGCTAACACCTTGACCTTTTAGTAGTGAACGTTCTGTATATTTAACTGAACTTGGTGCACTCCATTTTTCTCTGCAGTTAAGAGTAATAAGGTAAAATTTGGTTCTGTGTGTATAATACGTATAAATATACATGTGTTTATACATGTTTGTATACATACAGATGCGTGTATATGTACATAAATTGTGGTTTTTGTAAAAGAAAGTCTTGATGTGATAATTTTGGGAAAAGTATAGTAATTTTATACTAGCAGTGTGTGCCATTGTATGATATTCTATCTGGAACAAAAAAATTAAACCTTGCAACTTATTTTCTGTAGAGGTAAGTATTTTTTTTCATTCATACATGCAGTGAAATTGAGAGAGAAAATAAACCTTTTGTTTAAAGTTACCTTAGTCTCAGAAACATGAATCTAAACTTCTAGTTGTCATCATATATGATTAACAAGAGGCTTGTCACCAGCTGTTGTAAGGTCTGTTGCCTGTAAAAGGGATATTTTAAACTCTGCCAAAAACATATTTGTTAATTTTATATTAATGCTGAAAGGTGCAGATGGCATGCATTTTCTCACATTGTTTCATTTTGTGTTCTTTTTACAATCTCCTCTTTTTCTATGCTAATAGTTTGTTCTCGTTCCAGTTTAGTGGGGTATTTTCTTTTGCTTTCTCTGATCTGTATGTTCTCTCTCTCTCTTGAATTGACAGACACTATGGAGCATTCAATATTAAACCATTTGGGCAGCTCTAGTCTACCTGTACTGATTTTTCTTGTCCAGTTGTTCCCATGTGGCTGAGATCTATCATCAACATACCAGCTAGCAGTGACCTGTTGTGAAACTTGGGGTCAGTTGTTTCATTGCAATGCTTGCTGTTTACAAATTACTAACTACTAAAACATGCTCAGATAGAATTTAGCATAGTCTGCAGTATTACTTAGCTTCTTCCTGCGTGTTTGTAAATTTCCTAATAATTCTCTTATGTAAAACAAACTTTATATAATCCATGTCATTCATTCCTGGGATAATAATGTATATATTAATTCATCAATATTTTCTTTCTAGTTCAACTACCTAAGTTCTGTGTGTGTTTGGATTATTTTCCTTCAACAGGGAGGGGAGTTTTCAGTAGTTCAACATATGTTTTTTGTGGGTGTGGTTTTTTGTTTCTGAAAACTGTTTTAATTCCTTTGACAACTCAACTTTCTCCCCTTTTCTTCCTATTTTGTATGATTTACAGTGGCTTGTACTAATAGAGTTATACTCTGGCAGGTGCTCAACCATACTTTTATTGTTGAAAAGGTGCTGATTTTAGTTGCTTAGAGTTCTTTAAAAAATTAAGGTTTTAATAAAATGAAGCTAGGGAAGAATACATGTTTTGCACATGTTAAAATTTGTGTCCATTTCTTATTTGATAGCCTTTAAACAGCCCAGTGATCTGTAGCAGGGACTTGCTATTTGTTAAGGTGTGACTTCTTGTCTGTGTGTCTATGATTTATCCCCAGATGTGGCTTTTAAAAAAAAAATAGAAGTTTTCTAGTGTGAAACTGAGCGTAGTTTGTTTCTGTTGGGACCAGGCAGTAGAGTAGAGAAAATGTGTTTGTGTCCTCCATATTCTAATAGGAATCAGAACTAAAGAAAGAGTAAGAGAAATAGTTTGGGACTGAAGTCGTGTAAGGTTGATGTAATGGAAGCTAAAGTGGGCAGGGAGACTGGCACTAGATGGCTGTGGAACCTAGAGATTTAGGAACGCAGTACACAACATGATGTGGAGCTAGTAGATGACAGAAAAACCGAAATCTTGAGGTTCAGGTGGGTTGGATATCCTGACAGGGATGTAGGAACTACAGGTGGTTGTATTAGGACACTGGCAGATCCAGAAGGGAGGTTAAAAAGATGAGTCAGTTTAACAAAACAAAAAAAAAGTGCTGAAAAGGTCTGAGCTAAGAAGATAAGGTTAGAAAACAAAGATAGTTTAAGTCTGTCATGTGGCATAGTAGGGATGGGAAGAAAGGACTCCAGTTGGTTAAGTAAAAACAGATGGGAGTTCCACAAATGGCATACAGAGCAGCTGAGATAAAAGGAGACTATAAGATAATTTGATTTTAGGAAGAATAAACAGAATAGTACAAGTATTCTAAAAACCATTCTGGCTAGCACCTAAAATGGTAGCCCTGTCTTTTGGAACTTGCTAGGGGTGTCTGCTGACAAATTACTTAATCACAGTCCGTTGCCTATTTGTTAGTTTACAGATAGAACAGCTATCAGTTATTCAGCTCAAGTTTTATAAATCTGAGTTTTAGCTACTAAAAAAATCATGTAAGCATTATGACAAATCCCCCATAGTAATGCATTGCTGTCATCTACAGGGAATGCAAAAGTAAATAAATAAATTTTGTTGAGTAGCTGTGGCATTGTAAAAATTAATTCTCCCTATCAAATTAGAAAGAACATACAATTGCTTTTAATAACTTGGCATACTTTACTGAAGCTATATGATCAATGAACAAAACTTTTTTTTAAGTAAATTAATTCTGAACTCATTCTAAGATTCCACACTTGTAAATAAAGGAGGGTATTTCTTGCCACTATTGACTTCAGCTATGTACATAATGGAAATCTGTTTCTCAGTTTTGAACTAAGTCTGTCTAGCTGACACAATATCAAAATGGACTGTAACTTTTCATTGAAGCATTATTAATGTAGTAAATGGAACACATATTGAAACAGAACATAACACAGCATTTTTCCCTCTCTTTAGGAGTCAAGGTTGCATTTTGTGAGAAGAAATTTTTCACATCATTCATCTATGACTGAAACCTTGATATACATGAAGTCCCCATTTTCATCCTAGAAAAGATTACAGAATGGAAGATAAAATTTTTATACCCCCTTCTTCTACAGATTCTGTAAAACAGACTTGGCTAACATACCTATCACATGGACGATATGTTCTTCCTAACTTCCAACATTTGCCTGAAAATGCCTAAGTTAAAATACTACTCCTTTTTGTAAAGTAATAAAATGAAATTGTGTAGTTTGAATAGGGAAAAATACATGAAACCATTATTTTATCCTGCATTTTCTTTCTTAATAAAAATACTGTTACAGGACAAAATGATGATTTCTGATACACAGCCTACTGTATAAACTTTGGTTACTAGCATAGATTGAAAACCAGCATACTTTTATTAAAGGTAAAATTTAACATTTAATTTCTGGATTACATAAACTTTAAAGATCCATTCATTAGAAAGTAAAGGCCATTTGCTTGCATACTGACAGCATTTATGTGCTGTGGATTAAAATCTGGTTATTTTAATTCATGTACATTTTGTATCAATTCCAAAAGAGTTTTGTCTAATTTTAATTTTTTTTGCAATCAGTATTCTCTGCTTTTATAAGGTGTTTTACTTACATGTCATTTTAGTGCTTGGGAATAATAACTTTTTAAAATAAAATTTGGACCACAAGTTTAATAATTATTTATCCTCATACGAGACTAACATTTTTCTTGCATATGGTAAGCAATAAATTTGGTTTTATGGTATGTTTTTAGTTATAGAAAAAGGCAAGAGTTGACTTCTTACCATTACAAGACCATTGAAAACTTCTCCTTGCTGCTTTGACTTTTTCTGTTGTCTGTGCAAAATTTAGGAACTCTCTGGCAGCATCACAAGTTGAGATGAAATACTATTTTCTCCTCAACTTCAGGAAGATAACTTTCTTTGCTTTGCTTCTCTCACCCCTCTAGGATTCCTTCTATGTTTTATAAAAGTCAGATTCCTCAAAGGTTAAAGTAGAGCCTCTGTAGTTAATAGGAGTGCAAGCTGTGGCTTATTGCTTATGTAGCACTGAGGTTTTTATGTATGTAGAATATCCTTGAGCTTTTCAATTTTTTTATCTGCTCTGTAGTAATTTGGGGGTTTTCTTTTTGTGTAGGGCTTTGTTTTTCCTTTTAATCATTATGGGATCTTACAGAGTAGGCATTGTAGTCAGTAAATAATCCATGTGTAATAGGTAAATATATTTAAAGATGATTCTAGCAGTCAATAGCATTCTTTCATATTGTGCAGGAAGAGAGGTGGAGTCTGGTTCTGTTCTTGTGCTGTTTTGAAATTGTTGTGAAAGGAGATGCCATGTACTGTGTCTTGGTTGCAAGTTTCCTCAAGTGACTTTTCACCCTTTGCTAGGTAGAAGAATCTACACAAACATGGCTTAATAGTTTCTGTTTTTAAAAACTTGTTACCATAGCAGCTGTGAGAGATTGTTTTAACAATAAGTGTCAAAAAAGATACACAATTTTTTGGATACATGGTAATCTCAACCTATTTTTGAGAGGGGAAATACCCATCTGCTGGAGGTTGTCATGTTTCTGAGCCAATCTGTACCACTAAAAACATCTGTTTAGTTGTTCTTCTGTTTGATTTTTGGATTTTAGAATTCTTCAGTATAAATGTTACAGAAGTCTTGGCACATTGTAACAATAATTCGCTTCCATGGAAGAATTTTTGCATAGTAAATATTTATTTTAATGAACTGCTGTCTCTGAAGGTGCCAGTTTTCAGAATGCTTTAGAGATCCAAGAAGTAAATTTTGCAGCGAGTACCATCTTAAAAAAACCCATGTGCTTACAGGGAAGTCTTCTGAACTAATTGCTTGAAAGTATACTGATACTGTGCAGTCATTTACATGTCATAAGTTTGTGGCTCTAGTCCAGATACTAGTAGTTTATTTTCCATTAATTGGTACAGATGTTAAACTGTTGATAATGACTTGCTCCCATGGCCTTTGCTTCAAAGAACATTTACTTTGTTTTTACTTGTGCGTGAACTTGATCATTTGGAAGGATATTCAGTGTTAGGCACAGAAGTATACCTGCAGTGTTCTACTGTGGGGTCTGTAACATCAATCTGGAGGTACTGTTGGTTACGATTGTATCACCAATTAACAATGCTTCATTTTAATTTGAGAGACCTAGAAGAGACCAAGACAAAGCTCTGAATGTTGGCTTTCTTCCAGGAACCACAGGTCACTGTTGAAATACTGAGGGCTCTCCATTGATATTGTAGCTCATCTTTCTTCAAAATGCTTGCCAAGAATGATGGCATAACATCAGTCAGAACTGTTAAGCTTCCAGTAGTTGAATCCTTCCATAGACACAGTTGAGGCACAATAACTGACTTTTGTAATTCTGTTACAGCGATACGCAAATGATCTGCACTGAGGAAGAACCGCATCAGTTCCTCAGGTAGTGCCTGCAGTTGCATTATCTTGACGTTTTAGCATTCATGGCTCTTTTATTTTCTTTCACTACACAGTATTATTCTACTGCCACTGAAAATTTCTGTGATATGGATATTCCTGTGCTTTAATACAGAAGTCTTTTAGTTAACTGCAGATAGTAAGATCCTGATCCCTCACTGATTTTGGGAATTGAAGAAGGGTAACATTTTCTTTGGTCTTCTGCAGTTTCCTATTGGTAGCTGTAAGGCTTTACACACGTGGTAGGAGGGAGCACATCAGGTTAGGACTGTGCCCTGTGGACATTTTGTAGCTAATGGCAAATAATAGTCTTTGTGTGCTGCTTGTCACACTCGCGTTTTGGCAACTAAATGAATTTTCTGGCTTCCACCGCCTAGAATTTAGAGACCTTGCTGGTGTCTTTTTGTTTTCTACCAAGCTAGCTGTTACAGTATTTCTAGCAACCGCTGTCTGTCTAATGTTACATTTGTTTGGCAAAATGTTAGTTCCAACGGTCTGTTAGATAACACTGGATAAAAACCTGTAGACAGGCAGGAAAGTTATGGAAGTTCTCTCTCC